GGTCTTTTTTTTGGGGAAGCTCCAAAAGATGTACTGCAACTCCGTGGCCTAAGCCAAGCACAGCCTGTATGTCTATATCATGTAAATTTAGGCAATATTGTTTACTAGCGGGGTGTGTTCACCGCAAATTTACATTTGAGGGACGTTCCAATTGTTTACGGTTAATTCGAGCCAGCTGCCCGGGAGGGACTGTGACAACATATGCGGAAAATCACTGGAAAAACACTAATCCATAACTTGGACAGGAGACAACGGAGCCGTCTTTCTGCACCGGCTTGTCCTGTCAACACAGCGTCTTACGTTTTATACTGGAGGTTGGCTACTACTTTTTGTTCGGTTCTCATTACGTTTTCGTGTTCATTTTGTTTTTCTTTATGTTTGGAGTATTTGTCAAGTACGAGATGAAAATAAAAAGGTCGGCAAGTATTGTGTAAGAAAGTCAACCAGAGTCCCCAAATGACTGCTTGAGCTTCCTTTGTCTGTGCGGCTGTACGCTAATAGCAAAATAAAGACATTTAAAATTCACCTTAAAAGCTGATACGGATATGCAAAGAATTGACTTCGCGCTATGACATTCATCTTGTCCCTTTTTTTTTTCCAGACAATGGTCTTTTTTTTTGGGAAGCTCCAAAAGATGGACTGCAACTCCGTGGCCTAAGCCAAGCACAGCCTGTATGTCTATATCATGTAAATTTAGGCAATATTGTTTACTAGCGGGGTGTGTTCACCGCAAATTTACATTTGAGGGACGTTCCAATTGTTTACGGTTAGCATTTACGTACAGCAATTAGCGCATTAGCTCGCGAGCATTAGCAACACTAAGTTAGTCGCGTTCGTCAAGTATCAGACCAGTGGGGCACATTGTGTTGCCACGTTTTATTTTTCCAACAACATGTTAAGTGTTTTTATATGTGGGAGTTACAGTTTTACACCTTCTTGACTCGCCTCTACGGTGAATAAATTGCAAGAAACATCAACGGGTGTGGTCATTGAAGCGGTTATCTATCTGTCTGTATGTATGTATTTACTTGTCTCAAAATGACATGTCATTTAATTTTTTTCTTTGTAAATTTATTTCATTAATGAAAATGTGTTTCACATTTCAGCTCGAGTTATTTCATTGACTATAATAACGTTGCTTGACTCGAATGTGTGGCAATTGGACGTACCGCTAGTACCCCGTCCTGTTTAGGAGATAGGAGGAAAATATTGAAAATTCAGAAACGAGCATTCAAACGTTTCGAGATGATCAAATTAAGTTGACTCATATTAGGTTCACGTGTAAAGATATCTGACTCGTTTGACAAATCCATGACTTTGGCCTCACCAAACACTTGCACGTCGTAGAGCACGGTGGCGGCGACGGCGGCGCCAATGCCGTTGTCTGCCCGGCAGGCGTACGTTCCCGAGTCGCCCTCGGCGGCGGCGTCGATCAGCAGGTTGCTGAGCAGGAAGCGGGTGTTGTTGTGGACGCGCAGGTCCTCGCCGTCCTTGGCCCAGGTGACGTGCGGCGTCGGGATGCCGCTGGCCACGCACTCCAACACCAGTCGCTGGCCCCTGGTCACCATGATGGAGCGGGACGCCGGCGGATAGATGATGCGGGCCGCTTCAGACGTGGAGCCTGGGGCGTGGAAAAAAAATAATAATAAAGGCTGAGGGCTTAGTGACTCAAATTTCCTGCTTGCTATTGACATCACGATGTGCGCTTTCGTTCTTTGAAGCGTTTAAAATTATGGCAGCCAGGAAACATCAAACTGCCAAGTGCGTGCCACATGTGCGTCACGTGTGCAAATTTATAGCACATAAACTTTGCTTTGAGAGGCGATTTGTCAGTTTTTCTTTTTTTTTTTTCGTATGAGTTTTTTTTTCTGAAAACTGGGAGTATTTGTCGAGTGCAAGATTAAAAAAAGGTCGCCAAGTATTGTGCAATGGAGTAAACTACAATTTGGAAATCATTTCCACTTCCTTGACACCAACAAAAAAAAAACGATAAAAACATTGACAAATATTTTCCTTTTGAGATGGGAGACATTTTTAGCGTCTGGCTGCCATAGCCGCGTGAAAAGTGAGGTTTCACCGTAAAGGCAGCGAGCCTCCATCTGGCGACTTACGGCGTATGCGCAGGCGGTCGGCCGATGACGACGTCTTAACCTCCTGGGTGATGGGGTTGTAAGCGGCGCACTTGTACGGGCCCTCGTCCTCCCGCGTGGCGTTGGCAATCTGCAGGTTCCCTGACGGCATGATGAGGTAGTTCCCTGTCGAAGGAGAGACAAACAGCTCGAATAGCCATTTTACGGCCAAGGACCAGCGCGAAGAGGCAGATGTGAAAACAAAGGCGGCGGCCGCATTCGCGGGAGCTTGATGCGTTTTTCCTGCGGCCTATTTTTACGGCAGGGTGTGGAAACTTCCTAGTGGGAACAATTTTTTTTTTTGTTGTGAATGTAAATAATACGAAAGAAAAACATTTTCGATTGGATTAGAGCAGAGGTGTCAAACTCATTTCGCATTTTGGGCCGCATACAACCTCGGTAGATGTCAAGTGGGCCGGACCATTTAAATGATACCACATTCTGCACTAAATAACCAAAATATCGTGTCTTTCTTTTGTTTTTGGTATACTGAAGCACAAGAACATTATGAAAATGTTACAAAACATGTCATGAAACACCTTCAGATTTCCTTAGACAAATGTGCCATTTACTTTTATCATTCACATATATGCATTGCAACTGATCGCACTGATTGTACGAAGGCACAAAACTTTAATAAGTCATTGGTAGTGACAAATATAGTCATTCATTTTAAGATTAAACGAGATTTATAAAGAAAGGAATTTTTAAACCAGTTACACAGGTGCATATCAAATCTAAATGTAATCCCTGCCTACACTTTACAAACTAAAGAGAAAACAGTGTGCCCCTAGCGGATAATTCATGAATTGCATTTTACTAAAAATATTAATTCCGTGTCTTTTATGCATTTTTTTCCACTTTTAAATTATCCTGCGGGCTTGATCGAACCTCGTTGGGGGCCGGTTCTGGCCCACGGGCCGTATCTTTGACACCATTGGATTAGAGAGTGGTTAATTTCCTAAACACTGACTTGCGGTCTTTTTAAGCATTGGTTACGACAATTTTAACAAAACTGTGGTGTAAACAGAAATCACCGAATCAGATAACAACAACAAAGCAAAGAAATCGTGAAAATATAGCCGGTCTCTTTCCAATACAGGCAATTCATTTCCCATCACCTTTCGAGTCACTGCGCTACCAGATTAAACCAGAGCGGGGCAGCCTCGAGTCAACTGATGCAAGCCGCGCTTTCAAACGCTCATTTCCTCGCAGATAAAGCGAATGCTATCAGGGAGCTAACAGCTCGCAGGCATTATTAGCATACCGGCCGCAAAGCGCGGCCGCTTTTCTTCTCTTCTGGGCAACTTTCGAAAGTAAATACAAAACATAAGCAGCCCACAATTGCCATGTTTTAACATTCTTGAGATAATCCGCCTTATCAGGCCCTTTAATGATGGGCTCGGATAGCACCGCAGTGGCATTCCAGGAAATTATATAAGATAGCACAAGGAAGTGGGAATGATTGGGGGGGGGGGGGCAAACCTTTGGATGTCTCCAGCCATTCCTGCTTGACACTGTAGCGGACCTGCGCCTTCGGCTGGCTCTCTGGGAGGTGACACTCGATTACGGCCGTGTTGCCTTCGTCCACCTCGATCTCCTGCTGGTCGTCGGGCTCGAAGTCACGCAGCTCTGAGAAGAAAAACCCGACAGGTCACATCGAAGCACCGGTCATGTCTTGCATCACAGAGTGAGTGATAAGCTGGAAACGTCCTTTTTGCAAAGAAAAGGAAGATGAAGACGAGCTCGATTTTGCAAAAACATCGTAGGCCTACGATCACATTTTTTGGCCATGTCCTATTATGTGACAACAATTGCTTGAATTCTTTCTATGTCTGGTCTGCCCAGCTACATCTTGCAAAAGCATACAGTTCATTCATTTGGCATCTTCAGAAGTACCGGAGATGCCAAATTTTTTGGACTTTAGTCGGCGGTTTGAGGTATTGGAAAGATCGTCAATCACTAAAGTCATCCAAGAAATGATCAACCCTAATGACGGTCAATTTTGCCCCCCTCTACCCCACCCAAGAAAAGCAAAACGGTTAGCCGTAAAACATGTCATATTTGCAGTGAAGTTGACTTTGCTTAGCCTCAAAGCCACAAATGCATCATTCAAGTCATTTGTCATTCATCCTGTCAAAAAGCAGACGCAGCCTGGCTAAAATTCACGGTCGACAGCAACATTAAACCCATTCAGTACCAGCCAATTCTGGACCAAGTCTGAAAAGACGTTTAGAACGTCTTTGGGAGTGAATGAGTTCATGAGAGCATCAAGAGATTTCTGGCATCTACTGGCTGCGTCCTCCACGTGACAACAATCGCCCGTGTCCGTCATACATCTGGGCAAAGATGCCACATTTTTTTGGACATAGCTTTCAAGGGTGTGAGGGTTGAAAAAAAGGTTGTGAATTGCTGAATTACACCTCGAAAAAAAAAAAAAAATCGAATTTACAGTCATCTTGTTGTTTCTGCTATCTCACTGCACCCCAAAAACTCCATTTTGCAAGATTTGGCTTTGTCTGCAGCTCACTTGACTTCCCAAAACCCGAGAGTCGTCATTATTAATCCTGTCAAACCTTATACAGGGGCCGGCTCATGTTCTGTGGGAAACATGGGAGGGGGTGGGATTCCCAGAGCGGGAGGGGGAACAGTCTGCAGACACAGATTTGACCCTTGAACCCTTAAACCCCCTGCCAGAGGGTTCAGGGGTGAGCTGCCCGCACGATCGGGTTTCAGGGACATAGATCCAGTTTGGGGTTGGGGAGGGAGAGTCACTCGCTGCTTTTAAGAGGCCGGAAAAATGTCGGGACGGAGTGGTTTTGGAAGAGGGGGGGGGGGCAGGAAAGGAGACGATTGAGACAAAGCGCAACACATTTTATCTATTATTTTTCCAGAAGAGCTGTGTGATGTATCCTTTACGAAACTCAACCTCGCTCCATTCCACCCCCCCCCCACCTCCAATAAAGTGTGTTGTTCTTGGCAAATTGCTGGCCCGTCGGGGTGATTTACTCAAAGCCAAAGAACAAACGGCTTCTCTGCAAGACGACTCTTGATTTACTCACTGGGCCCTGCTGTCTTTCTGCCGGAGCAATAAAATGTGGAGAAATGAAGCAGGAGGTAAGGGGAGGGCGGAGGGGAGGGAACGCAAAACGCACACCTTCCCGCAGCCAAAAACATGTCAGGCTAAGTGCTGTGAGCGCTCCATTTGCAAAATCAATCAGGTGGTGTTTTTACAGCCGCCTCCCCCTCCCTCATATCTGCTCACCTTCCTCCTCCCGCATTCTTCCGTGCATATGGGCGCCTCTCAGGTGCGTGCATGCATCGGGGG